TACCACATCTCTATCTGCCACTACAGATACCTTGAGCATATTTGGATCTGCTGGGGTCAAAAGGCCACTGTGGTAGGTGTGTTTTCACTACAACCCAAACCAGCTGGAGAGCCTTTTCTTGCTCCAGATCCCACTCAGAGCTGGTAGCTCAATGGGTTAGAGCAAGAAGTGGTAGGGGTGCAAAGAGAAGTGACATGCCTTTCAGACTGGAGAAGCTATTTCAACTTCTGGGAAGTGAAAGCTATGTCCCAGACTATAGCATATCTCCAGAAACTTCACTGTGATGGCAGGCCCCTGAATTTTCCTAGATCGTATCACCGACCCTTTGACATATGAGTGCCTTGCTTGGGCATCTAGAGCACATGCTACCTTTTGCTTATCAGATCTAATCAGCATGATGTTGCCAGTGTAGTGGGCCAGCAGGGTATTCCTGGGATAGTGGAGTGACTGAGGTCCCCTGTGGACAAGTTGTGACAGAGACGCATAGAAGTGCACTTCCAGATGAAAACAAACTGCTTATGTTAATCTCTGCTTATTGGAAGGACAAGACAAGAGCTATTTTGGAAGAACTGCATCTGGAGGGAATACTGAAGTGAATTTTGAAACCTCAAAGAATTTGGCAGACAGGAACAGTATGCGCAAAGACACAAAGATAAGCCGATACAAGATAAAGGAGGTGATTGGGTGACTCATTGATACATTTAAAAAAATATTTCTGGAGCACCTACTAAATGCCAGTGACTCACTTTGCTGAGTTTGTACAAGAGAAGGGCAGGATGTGGTCAGGCCTGAAATGACAGAGTAAGGAAATGGTACTTCATTCAGAAGGCTGTCGCAAACCACTTGAAGGTTTGTCGGCTGGAGAGGGCCAGGAGCGAAGTGGCTTTTTACAGTGATGAATCTGGTAGCAGAAGCTACTATTCCAGCCAGGATGAAGCAGTGGGGACCTGAACTAGAGAGATGAAATGCGAAAGGAATGTGAAGGAATGCGAAGGGATCAGCTGAAGGAGGAGGGAATGTACATGTGTCTGAACATGGGAGCCGTCAAGATGCGTAAGCCAAATATAACTCCAAGCTTTCGAGCTTGAGTGATTGGGATCAACACGAGAAATAATGAGGTCAGGTGGAAGATCTGGGATTAGGTAGGTCATAAAATAGCTGGTATCATGGGACTGAAGCTTCCTGAGGGCAGGGGCTACCACTGCTTTGGTTCCCATTTTATCTCCAGTCCTTGGCACAAGGTGAACATTCAAAAAGTATCTGTCATAGAATATGTTAAATGCTCGATCTTACTGAATTGTCACATCCTACCCTAGGAAGGAGGTGTGATTATCTCCTTTTTTTTTGCTATTATTATTTTTTATAATTTTGAAGTACTTAAGGCAATAAAAATATAGTAAATACAATAAACATCCATATAGAGAGAGATCTAGTCCTCAGTTTGAGAAACAAAATAATACAGGTTTTATCATTATGCCCATCTTATAGCTGAGAACCCTAAGGCCCAGGATGGTTAGAAAACTGGTTTATGGTCATACAGCTGACACACACCAGAGTTGTGATAAGAAAAGGGACCTGTCTGCCCCCAGAGCCCATGGTCTCAACCCTACCCACTTTGTGGCACTGATGAAACCTCTGGGTAGAAGCTCTCAGCAGGTGGAAGGAACATAATACATGTGGCAGAGAGAGAACTGAGGACTAAAAATATTGATAGGGGAATAATTCACATCAAAGTGACAGCTGAAGGGATGGCAGTGGAAAGGCAATACACAGTAATAAGTGGTCTGAGGACAATACTTGGACTTGAGCAATGTGCCTTCTTGGAAGGAGAACAAAATTTAAGAGACTATTTTAAAACCTGTCCTGTTCACGAGTAAGTGCTGTTTTTATGCTGCTCTAGAGTTTCTTTTTTGGTTCCTAGAGAAAGGGCAGAGCTGCCTGTAATCCATGGAGTGCTTACTCTCTATAACTGGCATAGGGCGAGGCCAGAGAAGGCATCGATATTTTGCATCATCGAGACTATAAAAATCTATGTTATAAAACCTATTCCCCCCCCCCCCCGCGGGGCAAAAATATAGGTTTTCTGCTTCCATCATATTGAGTACCTAATACAGGTCTGAGACTGTGCTTTTCAGAAACATGTGCCCTCCTCCACACATTACATGGACCACTGAGGTTTGATAGGGCTGAAGAGGAGTGTATACAGTTTCTAATCATTAGTAATACTACCCCCTGAGGAAACATTTTTTGGTCTTCACTGCCAAATCAGAAGTTTTTAGTTGCCTCAGGAGAAATGTAAGTATTCCGGAAAAAAGTCTTGCAAGCATTTGATAAGTATCCAAATCTCCTCAGGCCAATGAAGATCACAAGATTTTTGGGTAAGTTCCAAGTTAACATCAAGGTTTTGTTTAAAAAGTCCTATAGCAATATTATTTACAATCGAAATATCTACGTGATAAAAATTTCTTAAGATGTTCTCCAGAAGTTTCATAATATACAATGAGTACTTTAAGTCTTGGCCTGTAACATATGTCCTTAGGGCTCTTTAAGGACATTTGCAACCCCCTTAAAAAATATCAGAAACACATAAGGGGGAGACAGGATATTACTCTGACTCGCTCTGTAAAGTCAGGATAGGCTAGTCTAGGTACAAAATTTAAACCATTAAATCTCAGTGGCTTCATGAGTTCACAAAAACATGTTCTTTTCATTCAAAAGAATCTGCTGTGACTCTTCAGAGTAACTGCTTTTCAAGTAATGACTGGGGCAAACGGTCTATTTCTTTCTTCCTTCATTTCAGTCTAATGCTGAATAGTTTTTTCAGTATCAGTCACATCATATATGTAGAGTGAATTTACCATCATTATTTCTCTATAACCTTAAGACTGATCTCCAAATATCAAGACAAAGAAGAGGGGGCACCTGGGAGGCTCAGTCAGTTAAGCTTCCAACTCTTGATTTCAGCTCAGATCAGGATCTCAGGGTCCTGGGATCCAGTCCTACATAGGGCTCCATGGTCAGCAGGGAATCTGCTTGAGATTCTCTCTTCCCCTCTGTCCCACTCCCCACTCATGAGTGCTTGCTCTCTCATGCTCTCTCTCTAAAATAAATAAATCTTAAAAAAAAAAAAATGTGGGCAGAGGAAGCTGAAGGGCCTCACCCAGGTTTTGCAGATCTTTGGCTCCAAAATGGTACACATCACTTCTCACAACCAACTGGACAGAAATAGCCACACGGTGCCACCCAACAGTAACAGAGTTGAAATGTATAGTCTCCTGTGTGCCCATGAAGAATAGGAGAATTAAATATTGATGTGTACAGTCATATCTCCCATTTTTACATGGTAAAAAAACCACTGAAAAATGAGACACTAATGATAAAATCAGTACAACTATGTTGTGCCTTGGCAAGGGAAGAAGTAGTTTGATGAATATGCAGGTAACTAGATATGACCCTACTATCTGATGTTTTGCTGATGATGAGAATAGTTTTGTTGAAATATACGTATTTTCCATCAAGGACTCATAAATACTAGAGAAAAATAGCCATTTTTGCAACCCATTGGGCAAAGGCTGATGTAGTGCAAACCTAGGAGTGCATCCATCTGTAAATTATGTAGTGTTTTAAGATTAAGGTTTTTTTCTCCCCTTCTCACTTCTTGGTTCTGGGGCCATCTGGGAATTTCTGCTTCTTGAAGACTCACAGATGCAGCATTCATCCAAATTTCCCATGGTTTGTTCTAGATACACCAAATATAGAACTTTAAGGACTAAGTATATGATTCTGAGTCTGCTCATTATTTCCTGTACATAATTAATATGGAAATTGCAGGAAGTGAATCAATCTCCTGGAAGCTTCTTTTGGCATTTCCACATGCTCTGCTGCCTTCATAGCTGGTCTACTTTTTGTTGGTGTTATTTGCATCACTATTTTGGAACTTGGTATCCTTCTCCTCTAAATCTCCTTCAATCTCCCAGTATCTGCCACAGTAGCTTGTGTGTGACCATCAGTTAATTAATATTAGTGTTGAAGTTTTTATTTTAATTCCAGTTAGTTAACATAGTGTTATAGCAGTTTCAGGTGTACAATATAGTGATTCAACACTTCCATACAACAGCTGGTGCTCATCACAAGAGGTCATCCCTTAATCCCCATCACCTGTCGCACCTATCTTCCCACCCACCTCCCTCCCCTCTGGTCACCTTCCGTTTGTTCTCTATAGTTAAGAGTCTCTTTCTTGGTTTGTCTCTCTCTTCCCTTTCCTCCTCTGTTTTGTTTCTTTAATTCTACATATGAGTGAAATGATATAGTATTTGTCTTTCTCTGACTTATCTCATTTGACATAATACTTTCTAGCTCTATCCAGGTCCATGCAATTAATGTCCATGTTTCTTAAGTAAAGGAGTGGCTAGTTTCTCATTTTTGACCTACTTAGGGTCAACACAGTTTGCATTACAATGATGTACTCTACATTCCCTCAGGTCACTGCCCTCCAACTCTTGTTGCTTTCTTCAATCTCTTTTGCCCCACTGAGTAGTGGCTCAGAGAAGCAGTGAAACTTGGGGATGCAAGGGAGGGTAATTACCAGAAAGTACAGAGTGGCCATCAAAGGTCAATACAGTGTTTATAATCTAGTAATCTGAATAGTGACAAGTGAGGGAGGGTTCTTCAGAGAATTGTTAGATCAAACTAAAATGTTTATTTATAGAGATTTCTTTTCCTATTATTTTATAAATTTATTATAAATTAACACAGCTTGTTTTCTGCTGATTTACCCTGATAATTTGAATTTTTGACTCATTTTAACCTAATGCTGTTCTGTTTTATAGCTATGATAATGGAAGATGTATTTCTGAACTAATCTGGAAATTTTTTCTTCAAATTAGGCCATTTATAGCATTCAGATTTATGTCTTTTCACGTACCAGTTAGTGTTGTGAGTGCTTAAAAAACAAACAACTGCACTAATATGAAGGTCAGTTGTATGCAAAAATTACTTACCGAGTAAACTGTTGGTTTGCCCACCAGCAGAGGAATAGAAGAGTCCTGAAATCACATAATTCCAAGATTATTATCCCATTCAGAATGCAAACCCCAAAACGAATATAGGATTCTTAGCACTTAGGGAATTTGGAGATGTTAAGCGCCCTTTAAGATCATTTAGGCAATGGTGACTTTCACGTTCCAAATGAGGAGACTGAGCAGAATGAGTTGAGAGCGCTCCTGACTCTATTGCTGGTGTTCTTTATTAAGGTAGAAGTTATACCCTGAGTCAATTTTGCCAAATGCAAACATCAACTTATCTTTTTTGTTCTAATGGTCTCCCAGGGCACTGGGAGGTTGAAATGATATTCCAGTTCAGTCAGAGCTAAGTGGAGACGGCAAACGAGCACCCAACACGGTGCCAGGGGAAAAGCAGCTCTTCCAACAGTTAAGTGGCAGGTTGATGTGAAATTCCCGACTTCACAGAACACCTCCTAAGGATTTAACACTGCTGCTTATCCCAAATGCTACGCGAGCTGCTCCCGCGTTCCAGCATCGCAGGGACATACCCGCTAGGCCGTCCTGGTCCGGAGCGCAGGTGGCAGCCTTCCGTCCGACCCACCTGAAGTCCCACCTATCCTGGGACGCGCTGGAGGGAGCGGATCCACGGGCGGCGCGTGCTCCCCAGCACTCCTCCAAGAGGCCACACCCAGCACAAGGCCCCCATTGTGTCTCGGGGAACAGGGGCCTCGCTGGGTCACGCCGGAGGCCCCCCTTCGAGAGGAGCCAGCCGCCCCAGGCCAGCCGGGCCTGCAGCGGGCGGGGGGCGGGGGCGGGAGCGGGAGCGCCGCGGCGCGCCCCAGGTCACGCTGCGCCCGGGACCCGCAGGCCGGCCTCGCGCGGGCGCCGCCGCACCTGGAGGCGGAGCCAAGGCCCGTGGCCCGCCCGCTGCCGGGCGCGAAGCCCCCTCCCCGCGCCCCTCCCGCCGCGCGGCAGAAGCGCGCAGGTGCGGGAGGCCGCGCCCGCCGGGACCTCGGCGAAGCGGGCGCACCATGGAGCACATCCGCACGCCCAAGGTGGGTGCCCGGGCGCGGGCGGAGGAGGGGCAGCGGGGGCTGCGGGAGGGATGCTGAGCCGGCCCGAGGCCCGGCTTCCCGCGGGCGCTGGCGAGCCGGCACCGCGAGCGAGCGAGGGAGGGAGGAGGAGGAGGAGGAGGACGCAGCGCTCGAGCATCTCCTTCCAGGCCTAGCTCTGGCCGCTGGCGGAGCCAACCTCTTGTCCTTGAGAGCGCGCGCTGGGCAGGGGGCTGGGCGGGGGGGAACCCCAGTTGTCCCTTGAATAACAGGGCTGCCGATCTGCTGATAGACGCTCCCTTCTAGTCTGGCACTACATTGCTGCTGCTGCTGCTGCCGCCGCCTCCCCTCCCCCCCAATTTTCTGTTGGCTGCTCTGAGCAGTTGAAAGAGAAACCAGCCTTCCGATTGATGACAGGTGCAAGGAAAGGAGTTAAAGTACGCGCAGGTGGATTGAAGGCTCTCTTGGAAGCTTGTTGAATCTAAGGGTTCGGACCCACACGGCTCCCCCTTCGGCTCCCCCATCGTCAGCGGACCTTACACAGAGCGGATGATCAATATTCGCCGTGGGGTGAACGTTATTGTCAGTCCTTGCGTCTCCTTGCCTTTTCCACCAGTTTTCTTTCATTGAGGAGAAGGGTGCAGCTTACAGATTGGTCCACTGGTGTTTTTTTTTTTTTTTTCTTCTGACTCTTGGTTTCAGCTCAGGTTGTGATCTCAGGGTCGTGGTGTGTTTGAACACAGCACCAGCTTTGGGCACTCAACGAAAAACGCCTGGTCCCTGGTCATTCCAGAGAAATTACACTGGAATCGTCGATGGCTGCACCAAACTTTCCCACTCGTAGTTGCGCTAGTCATGTAATTTAGAGTGAAAACGATGGTCAGTATTCCTGTCTGATTAAAGACCTGAACTGGTGAAAGAATATATTTCAAAAGGAAGTTGGCTATCTCTCTTTACCACCACCACCACAGCTCTTTGTGTTTCCAGGATGACCTCAGTTCCAAATCTAGGCCCTTGATAGAGTTAAGTCAAAGGTGGGTCTGTGTGGTCACAATTTAGGTGGCCCCAGGGATCCCAACCATTTCATGCGGGTGTGTGTGTGTGGAATTGCTTTTAAATCCAGTAAGAAGAGTTCATCTCTAAATTCTAGAATGGTTCCTAAGTACCTCTTTGTAGAAGCAGCTTTACGATGATCTCATGTCAGTGGAAGAATAGATCTTTTAGTTTGCTAGATAGTTCCAATGGTAAATTTAAATTGTATTGATTTTGCACTATGGAATTAAACTGTTGCTTTACTATTGGGAAATTGTAAACATAGAAGAGCGCGCCATAAACCACAAGGTAGGTGGCTCAAAGCTTTCAGGATTTAAGTGGTGCTAAATTATTTATTCCGGGATGACAAATTTAACTCATGAACTCCCTTCGTCCTTGCCAAGGGCATATTTTCTTTGTCGTGGTGAAGGGGGCCCTTTATAGAAATATCTGATGTGAATGTCAATAGCAAGAGTGATAGAGTGACATGTCACTATAGAATATGAATTTGGGGGGTAAAGGCTTTTTCTAATCTATGTCTAGACTCTGTACAAAGCCATGTTTTTAGCCCTGAGCAGCAAACAATATTCTTTTATAATTGGTTTTCGTGAACACCCTCTAAACAGTGTAGTACCTCAAATCAGAGATCCCTTTCTATCAGGAAATGGAAAAAATGGAGAATCATCTGAAATGTCATTGGATGGAGTATCATTAACATTTAGGATAGCACAGGTGGAAAAAATTATATACAGAGATTTGGTAGATCAGATTCATTTACTCATTCATTTCATTTCACAAGCCTTTGACAGCTTTCATGTATGAGGCTCCATTAGGTCCTGGGAGCATGAAGCATCAGGGAAGTCCTTGTTTAGAAGGAGGGGCAGTTGTAAGTTTGGACGGAGATATATACAAGAGACAGCGACCAGAGGGGAGGATGGATGGAGAACGAGCTCAACTATAGAGGGCGAGGGAAGTCTTAAAGAAAAGTGGAGTCCAAACATGGAAGGCTGGGAGCTGTCATGCAGTTGTGTCAATAGGATATATTGTAAGATATCATTACAATCTCAGAGAAGCTGAAACCTTGTGAGTGATAAAGATGGAAATGATGAAATGATTGCTTGAGGCTAAACAGCATCTCTGCATTTTGCACTTTTAAGTGCAAAACTAATTTTCACAGTATAAGTGAAGAATAGAACATGGGATCTACTTACAGAGTATGTGTTGCAAAGTATATAATTAATGATGGTTATATTCATCTTTATTATTTGCTTCCAGTATGCTCTGGGGGGACTGGAATAGATAGTTTGCCTTAGATTTTTCATGATTCATGTCTTGGGCTATAAGGATATAAGGTCATTCACAAATTTTGTTTTTCTGACCCACTGTGGGTTTGAAGTGATATTTACCATGTAGATAGTAGGTTTTGATTTTAAGAGGAAAAGAAATGCATGTATGGTGTATAATGTACAGTTGCTTTCCTACTACAATGAAAGTCATTCATTTACTCTTTATAAGCTGTATGAAATCCATCACAGCCTCTGTGTTCTGCTTCAGTCTCTGGAGTGTAGTTTAAGGAGACAGATGCACATGAATAATCTGGAATACTTTGCACATATTTCTTTGTGTGTTCGTGTTTAACTGAAGCCTTTAACAGAGCATATGTTAAGCAGGGTGTTTCTCTCACAGAATGGTTCCTTTATAGAAAAAAAGAAATTTTCCGAGGACAAGCTAGTTTGCAGCTGCGTCAAAGTGAGGACACCAAGCATTACCTGTACTCATCACAGTGAACTTTTGGGTTTCTATTTCACTGCCTGGATTTTTTTTTTTTTCCACTGTGAAAGCTTGCTAGTAAGAAAATATTCTACAAGAAGTTTAGGGATAATTTGGGTTTAGTTTTATGAAAAGGCTTCAGGACTCCAGGATATAGCTTGAAGTGTTTTTGCGGAATTTGATTTGGTACTGGACTAGGATCCTGGCTAAGTAATCTCACTTTTTATACTTTGATTTTTCTGGAACAGTTTTTTTTCTCCCCACATCAGTAAATTTTAATTGTAAAATAAGATATGTGATGACCTCTCAAACTGCAAAGCTGATCTTGAAAATGTCTGCCCTTTCCACCCCATCCTCCGCTCTTAGCCATTACTGGAATAGCCTACTAACTGGTAATGTCCTCTTCACTCTTCTCTAACCGCTTGTCTACAGAGGGAGTCTGGTGATGCTTTTATGGCACAAGGTGATCATGTTACTTGCCCACTGAAATTCCTGGGTGGCTTCCGTTTGTTTTTGTTTTTCGGTTATTTTTTAAAGATTTATTTATTTTAGAGAGAGTGAAACAGCATGAGTGCAGGGTGGGGGGCAGAGGGAGAGGAAGAAAGAGAATCTCAAGCAGACTCTGGGCTCCCTCTCACGGCCCTGAGATCATGACTTGAGCCAAAATCAGGAGTCAGAAGCTTAACCACCTGAGCCACCCAGGAGCCCCAGGTGGCTTCCCTTTGTACCCAGTATATAAAGTGAGAATGCTCAGAGTGGTCCATAAGGTCCTGTGTAGACTGAGCCCTCTTCACGTTCTTATTCACTACCCTCTGGTCACAACTAGCCTTAGTGGGTTTCTCAAACGTAAATTCTTTTCCACCTGAGGACTTTTTGCACTGCCGTTCCATCTGGAGATACTCTTATTTTCACTCTTCATGTGGCTAAAACTCATCTCTCTAGTTACAGATTGGATGGAATTTCCTCAGAGACATTATTATCTCATTCCTCCTCTAAGTCATACTTGCCTGTTGTATTGTATCCCCAAATGCAATGTTTCACCTTATGCTCCTTGTTACAAGTTTTAGATTTATTTGAGTGATTGTTTATTTTTCTTAAAGATTTTATTTGAGAGAGAGCAAGCATAAGCAAGGGGGAGGCAGAGGGGGAGAGGGAGAAGCAGACTCCCCACTGAGCGGGGAGCCCGATGCAAGACTCGATCCCAGGACCCTGAGATCATGACCTGAGCCAAAGGCACACTTAACCCACTGACCACCCAGGTGCCTTTTGAGTGATTGTTTAATGTCCAGCTTCCCTGCTAGACTGGGAGCCCTGTGAAGATGAGGATCATATCTTTGTTCACCCCTAACACGTTTCCTGGCACCAATTAAGCATACAGTAAATAAATTAAATAATAGGAGGAGTGAGTAATTCTTGGTCTCAGCTCTTCAGTTATTACTGTTTGCTTTGGTGATTCAGGCCTTGTGTGTTGTACCTGTGACTAGGGACAGTATTGTGAATCCTCTAATGGATTTAGTGTTTAGTACTTGTAGATGTCAATATATTATGTTACATATATGTAATGATATATATTTTGTGATTATATATAGTTTTACTAAGATAGAATCCAAATACTATGAAATTCACCATTTCAGTCGTTTCAGAGTTCAGTGTGTGTTAGTGCACTTAAACAGTGTTGTGCAACTATCACCTAATTCAGAGCATTTTCATGTCCCATCCCCAAAAGAAACCCCGTGCCCTTAGTAGTCCCACTAATCTACTTTCTATCTCTGTTAGATTTGCCTGTTCTGGACATTTTGTATAAATGGAGTAATCTGAGATGTGGCCTCTTGTGACTTCTTTCATTCGGCATCATTTTTTCTAGG